AAGAAAGAAAGAAAGAAAGAAAGAAAGAAGAAAGAAAGGCAATGTCCAAATCTGATGACTTGAGCCTTCCACAGCTCAGCATATTAACATGGCTTCACTTTTCATACCTCATTTCTTCACTTTTCTGCTGGATGGTTAAGAGCAAGATAAAGCAAGACCTATTGCCAGTCCTGTGGATAACCAACTGCTATTGTGGAGTACTGGACTACATTGGAATATTTTGCTGAATTGATGCACCTACAATATTTGGATGGCAATGGAATACCCATCTCTGACAAAACGGGACAAAAAAAGTGATATAAATTTTGCATCTGTATATACAAAATAGTTAGGATAGATATATAGCTACTTTCACTTAATTCAATAAGAAGAAATATCTGTACTAATAGTGTTTGGACAGGATATTATGTTTGCATCTTGTCCTATGAATGACTATTACAAAGACAACAATATGCAATGTATTAATTGTTGTAACTCTCCTACCAAACTATTTTGAAGCTGTCACATTGCAATTTTTTTCCTCAATAAAATTAATAAAAAAAGAAAGAAAGAAAGAGAAAAGAAACACAGAAGACAGATATCTTAGATAGCAAATTACAAAGCTGTAGCTTAGTTTCTCAGTCAACTGAACAAAGGTCTGGCTTTACTGGCTTACCTCACACTGAGCACCACTCCACACCCACGAGCTAGCTGACGCTATACAAAGTACACTGAGGTGTACAGTTACCATGTATTCTGCTATCTTGTCTCATTCTTGCTTTCATCTCCATTTTATAAATCTAGAAACAAAGACCTGTAACTTGTATGTAGCATTCCATGTATGTAGCATTGGGTAGTAGTAGCAAAACTGATATTTGAATCTAGTCTATTTATTTTATTTTATTTTATTTTATTTTATTTTATTTATTTATTTATTTTTTTTGGTGGAACTGGGGATTGAACTCAGGCCCTTGCGCTTGACAGGGAAGCGCTTAGTCTGCTGAGCCATCTCCCCAGCCCTAGTCTATTTATTTTAATTGTGAATCTAAATCTCTGTGCCAAATCATTTGTTTTTATTTCTACCTGCTAGGCTCCTGCATCCTATACAGCAGCCCTGGACCTATGCCAACCCTGAGGCCAGCTCCAGTTCTAATGGTGTGCTGGGGCTCTGTCTTCGAAATCAGCCTGATTCGTGCAATTAGTGGGAAACTGGAAAAGCATACTTTTCAAGTTTAGTAGTCATTTATTAATCCTGAAACAGCACTTTTTAAGACTATGCTGAAAGGAATCCATTGTGCTTATAGCATTTGGGGAACCTAAATAACGGCAATGTTTTTCTGTGCCACGGAGTCAGTACTGGAGCACTCCTAAATTTTTAATTTTCATCTGTGCTGTCTCATTAGCTCTCCAGTTTTCTTATAAACAGTTCAATCTCTAAACCCCTCAGCACATGACTATAAGACATTGTTAAACATAATAAACAAATATTGAGAAATAAAATTTTGTGAATCTTACAATGATTGCACAGCTGTTTGTTTGGAATCTATTAAAGAAATGAAAATGAACAAAATTTGGATACCTAAGTAGAAAACATTTCCAAAAAACGAGATGAGTTAATGATAAGTGAATATTTACAAAGAAACACTTGTTTGATTATAGGACAAGGAGTCCTTCCAGGTGACCCAGGACTTCCTCCACTCTGAATTCAAACTATTGAAGTGAAATAGAAGAACAACTTTTCAACCACTCAGTTGTTGCTGTGACAACGAAGCCCAACAAACACATAAAAAATAACCAGCACAAGTAGTGACTTGAAATCCTGAAACAGAAATAAAGCATGTGGAGAGGTGAAGGTTGTTGTGGGGGAAAGCTATGAGGAAGAGAGGGATAAGTGTTCTTCTTCAGTAAGCGCATAACACGTAAAGAACTCTGTGGAGGATGAAAGGGGAAAGGGCAAGTCTCCTAATCTGTACATATTTAATTTAGTGGAAGACTGCCACAAATAAAATAGAATGCATATTTGGGTAGGAGTGTGTGTGAAGAAAATTCCACAGTACACATCTAGAAAAACTTGATGCAGAAGGAAACCTGGGGCTGGATCTTCTAGGATCAGCAGAACAAGAAGAGATACTGGGGAGAAGGCAAAAGATTACAGAGAAGCGCTCCGGGCACCGGGTAGAGTATGGAGAACTCACCTGCACTCTGATCATGTTCTGTTTCTTCTTAGACTTCATTACTTCACCACCATGCTCTGTTTCCATATAAACCTCCTGTTCTAGAAAATTCTCTCTCGCATGGACCAGTAGGAGGTGCATCAGTGCTATATGTGCGGGGCAGCAATATGCCCCAAAGTTTGACATATGAAGCTCTACATGTTTGTGTTCCATAAACAAAAATATGTATGAAAAGGGCTGGTGAGATAGCTCAGTGGCATAAACACCTGCCTGCAAAGTGCAAGGGCCTGAATTCAGTCCTCTGCACCAAAAAAAAAAAAAAAAAAAAAAAAAAAAAAAAAAAA